CATAAGCAACAATAATCATGAGTGGAAACTACTCTTTTCAAAGGTAACTGAATAAATTCTTGTTCAATAACTTCTTTCTTAATTGGGCTATACCTTGGATCAATTTTGCTTTGTTGTGATGACTCAGATGCAGTTGATTCTTGACTGCTGGATTGCGGAGTATTTTCTTTGGCTGGCGCTTCTTCGACTTTTCGTTTTTTTGACTTTGCAAAACGAGCTGCGCCTCCACATTTCTGACAGAAAGTATCTCCAACTACGACTGTCGTAGCAAAATAATCGGACAGCACAATAGCTTCATCCTCTGTATCAACTCTTGTCTTTTTCCTGACCATCTTCTTCTTCGATAAACCGCAGTTCGGACATTTATCATTAACACTTGATGTAGACATGGAATAGTCTGGACCTGGAATAAACGACTTTATCAATTATCCAATTAATGATTAATACACACACCCACACCCACACCCACACCCACACCCACACCCACACCCACACACACACACACACACACATATATATACATATTATGTATTAAGTATTATAATATAGAGTAGATTAAAGGATAAAGAATGAAAAATACATTTGGATCAGCTGGCTCACAGGTTGATATTATTTGTTGATTATCACAGAAGCATTTAGAATGTCAATATATTGAATTTATTTATCAAAGTTACGTCCAAATATTAATTTAGTTCAACATGATGGAGGGCTTCAATTATGATTCTGTTGTGGTCGGTTACTAAATTAGCAGTGTATGTTATGCTAATGATGTACTCGGGTAATCCATGTGATATTGAATAATGAGTGTGATACAGACGGAAAGTCTAAAGAGATCAGTGGGGCAAGTTTTACCAGTGGAAAAATACTTGTTTTTGGTTGTCAAACTTATGTTCCAAGTCCACGGAAAATTCATTTTTTGACCAAACCCATATGGTCTTCAAAAAAAAAAAAAAAAAATGAATAAGCTGGGAATCGAAAACCCAGAAAGAAAGAACGTATACCTCTTCGGCGATAACCACAGGTTTCTATACCTATTAAACCAATACAGTTCTATTTATCTCTCACAAAAATAGACAGAAACATTATCACGCTTATAATTGAATGAAAACAATAATTTCTGCTGCTCTCTATTAAATAAAGAAAATCTTTTATCGATATTCTCAATTGTAAACATAACAACTCTGTCATGTTTAGCTGCAAATCCAACCTAGCCCAATCCAGACTTCATTTGAAATTAAATTGTATTCACAGCAAGAATACATTGATCAAAAATGAAATTATACTCACATTTATTGCAGAACAGTAACAATCAACTAGCTTTCCCCGTAATTAATCACAGACGGGTTCGTTGTAGGAAGGTTTGCTTCGTCTCTGTTTCGCATAAAACAAACGCCGGTTTGTCGGGTTTGTTTGATGTTTACGGTGTTCACGGAACGATTCTGACATTCATAAGGTGACACGAATTCCGACATATTATATGACATGTACATAAAACGATATGTTCAAGTCTTTAAAGGCTCAAAATGTTAAAATTGGGTAGATTTTATTATGAAGAAATTGCGTCATTCTAGTCTACGTAAAAATAAATACATTGGAAACATGAATTACTCTTTTGCAAATGATTTTTATGCCAATCCACATGTACAAGCAAAAGTGTCCCACCTGGCGGCGAGTGATCAAAGGTATGTGGCGAAATATTGAAGGGATGCAAAAATCCTAGAAAAAAAATATATATATACGTTTCCGATGTATTTTTTTGCGTAGAATACGATGGCGTAGTCGATTTCAGCATAGAATTGATATATAAGGAGCTAGAGTCGAAAAAAGGTGTTTTTTAGAGATTTTTATTTTTTTCAAGGTCGTTCCACCACTTTTAAAAATCTGAAAAAAATCACAGGCATTTTTGTGCAAAAAATACGTAAGATATATTTTTTTCAGCGGTGAGTCGGTCTTTGTTTTTTTAATACGAATTTTTAAAGTTTTCAAAAGGCTGTGAAAATTTGAATTTCTTGGCTATTGACAATGTCTTTGGCTATTGCGTTCAGTAGATTTTCTAGTGCGCGAATATTTTCTACATTGTAAATTAAGATTGGTGGAAATTAATTTTTTTGTGTGTGCATTTCGTTATTCACTGTATTCATTTCTTTATTTTGATTTTTCTGTAGAATCTTATATTTGTTAATGGATTGACTTAGCCAGTAATTCGATAATTGGGCTTGCCGCTTCATGTTTTGTATTTGATTTTCTAAACTCGTTCGCTGTTTTTTACTGCTTACCGTTTTTCACTTTTCGTTGTTGTTTTATGGGGATGAAGTGGGCACATTATCTCTTGATTGAGTGGTTATTTTAGCCGTCTCTATTTTTATTATGACGTTATGAGATATATTTAAATACATTAATTAATAGGTGTTAATAATACATATTAACATCTACCGAGAAAGGCACTAGAAGCGCAGCAGCCAGCCAACAATCAATCTCTCTCTCTCTTTCTCTCTCTCTCTCTTTTCTTTGTACGTACCAGCGACCAGGTATGTGTCTTGTGATTACTGCAGGTCATTGCAATGAAGCAGGATTGCCCACTGGCCAACTCAAAAAGCGGTTGCGCACCGGCGGAAGAAACCTATTATATATTTTTGCAGTTAAGTGCAAAATATTGACTCAATTTTGTGGCAACGTATCTGAAAAAAATTAATTGTAGGTCACTACTCAAAATTTTAATAATAAGAAAATATTATTTGGCTTAGAAGAGTGACAATAACATATTGCATAACATTTTATAAATGATTGGAAAAATGTTGCGTGAATAATGATGTCTAGCAAAAATTCTGTATTCAACAATGACAAAAGGTTGTAACAAGATTCAGTTAATGTTTCCAGAACTTGTTATAAAAATGTTCTAGAAATGTTGTACAAAGGCTATCTATTTAGTTACAAAGTTATTTAAAAAAAGCGAACATTTTACACGTTGTGACATTATTTTTGTAACATTTTTTTTGTCTGCTGGAAATGTTTAATATGTTGTGAAACGTATATTGCAGCAACATTTTTTAATCAACTCTTGCTGCTTAGATAGTTTTTAGATAATGTGAATATTTACAAATAATGTAAATATCTGTAAAAACAGTAAATATTACAATGTCAACATATGTAAATAATGTTGATAAGTCTTTGTTAATATAAGGTAAAGTTGAGTCCTTCTATACATGAAATGTTTGATATCATATTTAAAGTATAATTTTCATTATTTATGTACCAAATTCAAAATATTCCATAATTTACTGTTTATTTTATCATGAATAATATAGTTTCGGCATCAAATAATAAAGATAGCATTTAATAACAAATTTTTGACATGTAACATCATTAATAGCATCAATAACATGTAAAATCATTAACAGAAAGCCCACAAGAATCATATCATAGATAACTTTGCTCGTACAATAGAACTAATTTATAAAAAAATATAAATTTGTTGATCTTATCAATGACAAGTTTGGACTTTACGTAAAATCAAAAATTTTACTTCACGTTCTATAATACTTTTAAAACATTATAACTTATTTTCGTACATAGGTGATAAAAAATTGTATATTCTCGAGATATAGAAAATGAAACCTTAGACAAAAGTGTACGTTTCATAAAAATTGCGATTCTAACCTAAAAATCGTTTCGGAAACAATAGATTGAGATCTATTGTTGAAAAATACATGAAAAACAAAACATGTGCCACATGGTGGTGTATATGTGAAGGAAGCTTTAACCTCGGGTAAAAGTGCATTTTTCGTAGAAATTCATGGCACAATCACAATTTTAACCTATAAAACGCAAAAATATTATTCCGATTTCTCGTTGAAAACATATACGATAAAAGTATATGATACATTGAATTTGATATAAAATGTTATCTGTGAAAAACATTTTTTATGAAAAACCTCCAAAAATAATATATACGAGATCTCTCCTAAAAATATCCAACCTACCTCGATTGCTCGGCGCTTGATTTAATGTTCGTCATCCGGGAGGTAGCATCCTTCATAGTAGTCCTCATTTGATTGAATAAGATGCTCATATCGATGTTTCCACTTATTAAAGCACTTTTGAAACTCAGACTTCGGAATCGCCTTTAGTGCATTCATCGCATTAGTTTCAACAATCTCTTTATCGTCGAATTGATATCCCTTAAGCGGCATTTTAATTCAAGGAAACAGCCAAAAATCGCAGAGAGCTTTATCGCGATTGTATGGAAGCTTGTTGAACTGCGCAACACTATGTTTCAATAAATACTGCTGCACAGGGATTGATACGTGCGCTGGAGCATTGTCGTGATCAGTGAGAAATCAGTCACCAGTTTTCTGAAGTTTCGGTCGTTTTCTCCTGATTACATCATGCAATCTTTTCAAAACTTCAACGTAGTACTCTTTATTGATTGTCTGGTCTGTAGAAGCATATTCTTGGTGCACAACGTTCTTATAATATAATCGAGAAAAACAGACCAGAACGAGGTTCACTTTCAACAGATGTACGGCCACTTTTGCACACAAAATTTTATGCATATTCGCTGTTCAGTTCGTTTTCGCATTTTTAGCTATAAACTAATTGCGACGAATTAAAAAAAGTCATTGTAAACAAATACACGTTACGCGGGAACTAAGGTGTTTCATAGATATCTTGGGCTCTCGACGAGAAGGTTAGAAGTTGCTGTTGACGTTCATACTCTTCAGAGATCGCCTGTGTCTCTCCGCGCGAAGATATGAAGGTATGAACGTAGATCGGATACTTTTGGGAGAGACCTCGTATAGAAGATGAATGAAAGAATTTTTCGACAGATTTGGATTCGTCGTTTCATAATATATTGGAATTCTGTGTCCTGAGTTGATTTTAATTTGAACCTAATTTAATCAAAATTTTTAACAGTTTTTTTTGCCGTTGTAGATAACTTGTGATGGCTTTTAACCCAATCGACGTAAAGTGAGCTAAGCGTTTGCCTGATGATTTTGCAGGGTGGAGCGTTCCTCGGACCAGGTGATCAAGCCAGTCAATTTAGAAGCGCTGACGAAGTGGGTCGGTAATATACCAGAGGACGTAATCCACGACATGGCCGAAATCGCACCCATGCTCTCAGTCCTTGATTACGACCCTTACGCCAATCCTCCCAATTATGGCGCCCCTGATAAGGTCGTCAGCGATAACACCAGGAAGTCCGTTTTTTTCCCTCTGTTTCTAAGTTATCCCTCACTTATCGCGTTTTACTATGCGTAGGGTGCTGACCAATGGCCGAGTCTGGAACAACATGGCGCACGAGCTGGCATTAGAGAAAACATCAACCCAGACGAGCGTCAATAAAACTAATGCGTGACCGTCAGAACATGACAGCTGGATAACGCTCATGCAACCTCCTTCGTTTCGGCCTGTCAAACTTATCTAGCCTACATTTAGGTTATTTCTATAGCTTTTTCAAGTCAGTCTTCAACGGTCCTGTCTTGACCGTTGCTCATCAAAGCTAGCTTTATTCCATTAGTTTGCCAGTGTACGCATATGTGAAAATGGATTACATTCAATTCGACATATACCTGTCGAAGACATCAATGCAAACTACACATAATATTAAATTTAATTTTTAAAAGAGATCAGTATTAGCGACTAGTATTATCTCTAGTCGACTATTAAACTTTTATTCAACTGACGTTCGAATTCTCAAGATTTATGATTTTTGTCTTTGTTAAATAAAATTTCAGAATACAGTTTTTGCGACAATGCTGTTACGTTCTATAATACTTGTTAAATGTATAGCTAGGTTATAACAATTGATAAAATCCGCGCCAGTTCTCGAATCTTATGCGACTTATTTCTAGCATGAAACTGCGCTTGGTCATCTTATGTCATATATTTGTGACATAGAACAACACTTTAAGGGAGATTGCAGATAATCTATCTATATTTCCCACTTTATACACTACGAAAATCTACTCTCTACAGATAACATACTTGCTAAAGGATTTGACTGACCACACTTTTTCATCACATGCGAAACGGTAACTAAAAAAATGATATTGTATCGAACTAACAATAAGCTTTTAGATTTCAATACACTCTCAATATGAGATAAGATGTTAAAAAATATTAATAAAATAAAACTAAATATGTGGTCATAGTTTATTAAAAAGAAGTCCTTCTATTTATTCTAAAAAATGAGATCTGCCAGATTGACATATAGCTCACTTATTCTGGTACATAATGGGTAAAATAGTTTTAGATGAAAGGTTGTACAATTGCTTATGATTGTTTATTTGTCAAGGATTACGGTCGCGAATCATAGAAGAGTAGGCACAAAATAGCTACGACAGCATACACTTTATTCAACAAGATGTCAAACCGAACCTCCCTCAAAAGTATTTAATTTTTATCTTGATTCTTATGCCTCATATTAATGTTCCTGTATGGCGAATAGAAACTCTAGATTACCATTTCTCACTCTAAAATTGTCGTTACAACTGATTCTTTATTAATAAAGTTATTCGTGTTATAAAATTTATAAATTGTCGTGTCATCATGTTTCTGGCCTAGTATTTTCCTGACATTTCCTTTCACTTTCGTCGTCTTCTCTCTAATTATATCTTTCTTTTATTTTACGATATTACTACAAAACTTATTGACGAAATTGAAAATTAGAAAATTGAATATACATTGAATATATCTCTGATATGATATAAGATATAGCCGACGATATTATTTATTGGTAGCAGCTACATTGATACTCTTGATTTGAAAATTTTATCGATATGAACTTTCAAGTTTTTATCATCCCAAGTTCTGTGTTGAAAAATCATCATTCAAAAGTTTGGAAAAAAAGATCACAAATGTTTTTAATGTTCTAAAAACATTGTAGTTTTCTATAATCATATTTTTCACGATGTAAATAACATACTTTGGTATAGATTATACATGGCTGTAATTAGTACATATTAAGTGTCAATTCGCGGGAGGCGAATTTTCCCGTATTTAGGTCTTTCTAACAGCCCAGCGGCCTTTGACTCGGGCGACTCTCAGACTATCGGGTACTCCGGCCCGTTCGCGCGTCAATAATTATTTTACTCGCGTTCGGATCCCGAGTTTCATTTTCTCAATTATAAGCTAATTAATTAGTCGTTTAACTACAACCGGGAAACATATGGATAAACTCTCGTATCTGTATTTATAATTTTATTTTAATTACACAGTCCTACAAAAATACCTTAATTTTTTGCACAAGAAAACCATATATGTTTTCCCAAAGAATTTTTGGCGCTGAAAGCAAATCCGGCCTCAGAATTGCTCCAGCACGTCAGGATTTTGAGATATCTTAATCTAAAAGTGTGAAAGTAGCGATTTTTACCTATATTTGAGGTTATGTAGCACCACGACATTATCTACACGTAAAAAACTACAAACGACATATTAAAGATATTATATTAAAGAAGCAGTCTAGTCCTTTTAAATGCCATTGAGTTTGCTCAGTTTGCTTATTTTTTCTTTGAGATATTAAATTTCAAAGTTTTTTCATTTCATGAATATTGTACCTTTCAGAACATATAGCTTTGAACGTTTCGACGTCGAATTTTGTGTCAAGCGTCTTCAATCAATTATTGTTCTACAACAAAATTAAGATATATACCATGGATAGGCTAACCCAACTTCAACCTAAATTACGTCATCCCCACGAACCTCTACAGCCCTTATAAACCACCCCTACCTGAGGAGGGGTATATCAGAGACAATGTCAATGAGATATTCATTTTTTTACAGAAAAGCAGTTGATTAAACTCGCTCTACCAAGGGTTAGGTGGGTTAGTTTGCTTGGGGGTTGGTAGAGGGGGTTTCTGAGGATGGTAGGGTTTTTTGAGGATAGAGTACATCAAGGAGACAAAAGGTAAGCCTATCTGGTTGAGATTTTACGTTCCTCATAGAAAAGCAATTGATTAAACTCGTTCTAACCAGCGTTAGGTAGGTTAGCCTGCTTAAGGGTTGGTAGGGCGGTTTATAAAGGTTGTAAGGGTATCTGGAGATATAGTACGTCAAGGAGAAAACAGATAAGCCTATCTGTGGTTGAAATCTTAGGTTCCTGATAGAAAAGCAGTCGATTAAACTCGCTCTACCCAGATTTATCGTAGGTAGGTTAGCCTGTTTGAGGGTTGGCAGGGGTGGTTTTTAAGGGTTGTAAGGATTTGTGGGAATGATATAATTTAGGTTAAAGCTAGGTTAGCCTGTCTATGGTATATATCTTAATTTTCTTGCAGAACAGTAGTTGATTGAAGTCGTTTGACATAAAATTCGACGTCGAATCTTTCAAAGCTGTACGAGTATGTTCGGAGAGGTACAATATTTATGAAATCGAAAAACTTTAAAATACAATATCTCAAAGAAAAAATAAGCTATTTGAGCAAACTCAACGGCATTTGAAAGCACTAGGCTGCTACTTTAAGATGTCGTTTATAGTTTTTTGTGTATAGAGAATGTCGTAGTACTACATAACCTCAAATATAGGCACAAATCGCTATTTTCGCACTTTTAGGTTAGGATATCTCAAAATCCTGACGTGTTGGAGAAATTCTGAGGCCGGATTCGGTTTCAGCGCCAAAAATTCTTCGGGGAACCATGTATGGTTTGCTTGTGCAAAAATCTTGTCGGATTATGTTATTATTACAGTAAAAAAAAATAAAGTAACCTAGTGCAGACAGATATATATATATATATATATATATATATATATATATATATATATATATATATATAATTAGATGCGTACGTTTCGCCACGTGTAGTCTATTATTTTTTATACATTAATATAAGTGGTAATCACTTTTAGTAATTTGGTCATTTAGAAATTTTTTATCAATTTGGAATTAAGGTCTTCTTTCGGTTTTCCCTTTTTTTATGGTTTTATCGGTCCAATATTAATTCCTCCTTTTATTAGATTTTCTGTAGGTTCAGATAATTGCTTTCAGCACTCTTCTAATATATTTTTTTTATAAATCAATCTTCGATAAATTTTACATTTTGATACTTATTAACACAAATTTCATTTAAAATAATTTTCAATAGATTTAACTCTAATATTCTAACAAATGAATATTTTAATATAACTAGAATTTTGACTCAAACAGACTCTTACAGAGATTAATGATTCCAATAATTATAGTAGCGAAAGATTCGCAGCCTACTTATTCAGGCGCTTGCTACTAACTGAATTCCGGCGCATCGCTCTCACCGTTTGTCTATATATCTTTATTTCCCTCTCTCATTCCTTACAATCTATCTCTCTCTGGTGTATGCGTTTCTAATTGTTTCATATCATTTAGCCTAAGACGCTGAGTGCATGCTGCAACATACTGCAGCAGCATGCTCATCGTCTCCCACTCTTTCCCGCCAAGGCGCACACACGAATAGGACTCCCGAAAGCGAGATTCCCATCAAACATACAATTACAAAGAAAATAAAATGGTCCATCACGTAACATCTCTCTCCCCTTAGAATCGTTGCTGTCCTCGGTAACGTTTAGAAAAGGTCCAATCAGGGTAGTATAGAAAGAGAACAGAAAGCAATATATATGGTCCACTTTATTTATTTATATAAACAAAAAAAAACGGAGAGAGAGAGAGAAAAAAAGTTTATGGTCCTGGCCTTGCTCTTGATCTGCGTAACACAAGTTGCCGGGTATCTTGTCCAGCCGTTAAATCTAGTGCTTCTAGGTCTTGTAAACAGGAAGTTTGATCTTGTAGTAAATTGTGGTCCTGAGGTTTGGTCGAAGGATTTTGCAAAAATAGCGTTAACCGCTTTGTCATCAAAAGGGGACCCGTTGTAATCATAGATTACATTCTTTTAAATGATGGTCCCAATCAGAAAGATATAAACCTCTTCCACAGAACCAATGGGTCCTTAGCACTTTTCGATTTTGATATCGACAAATGATTTTGTGTGCCTCCAGCTCGGTTTTAGTTACATAATGTTTGCAGGTACTGTGGTAAGTATATATAGACATATTTCGAAGCTTTGCTGCTACATGGTGAGGTGGTGAATGTTTCGCCTTGTAACGTTTGTCCAGCTTCGACAATGCTGAGATGACACTCCAACTATATATATATTTGATCACCCTCATAGGTCCACAAGAGCCTTGCCATATTTTTATGTAATCTATTGGTCCAAATTGTGCGAAATCATCATGGACCCACTGCTCCGGCCATGGTTTTCGTTGTTCGTCGTGGTGTGGTACGAGGAAATGTAGGCATCGGTCGGCGTCATCTTCTCTTGTGTGGATTGATGTATTTTGATATGTCAATTCTACGGGGTCCATTTTCTCCTCCTCTTCGTCCTTCGTAGAAAGGTCGTTTGCGCTACGAGGAGACCAATCTCCTACGGTGTACGGGAAGAATTTGGTCCAGTAAAATATGGTCCAGTTAGTAGCATGGTCGAGAGAAAGAAAGGTATATAGGTTTAAAGCTAGACATAGACGAAAGTGAAGAAATAGGTCAAAGATTAGTAAGTAAAACAATAAAATCAAAATTATAGGAATACGATTAAAAAGGTTCAATAATTTTTATCCTATAACTTATAAACTATACAGCTGATTCTAAATATCTTATATCTTCAGGGTCGATTCCTGCTATCACATCTTCTTCTACTAGGTCAACTCGTCATGTTTTTCGTAAGGTCGCCCGTGGATTAGGAATGGGGTCCAATAATGTAATTTCCAAGGGCGTAACAAGGTCCGTAGAAGCATCTTTGTCTATTTTCATGCCAGGTCGGTTAGTTTTGGTCGAATTCGTATTATTTACTTTCCTTACGTCTGACTTAGGGTATTGCCTTTTCATTTTTCCTTCCCTGAGTTTATTCTGGTGTTGCCACCTGCAGGTAGTATCATGGTCCTCGTAGATTGATGCATCTATCCATTTGTTGTAAAGCCAATGATGTCTTGTTTCCTTACTTTGGTCCCATCTTCTTTTCCGTATCTCAGCATACCTAACGCCGTAGATAGGATTGCATTCCTTTAAGGCTGTTGCTGCGTCAGCAGCTTTGTAATACTGAGCATATCCTATAGCAAGGGCTTCTTTGTTGTCTCGCACCACTTTATGATACAATAAAGGTCCGAATTGTACGAAGTGTTGGAAAAAAGACATTCCCTATAATTCCCTATAATTTTCTTCGATCGTTCAGGGAAGTCGACAAAATTATCGGGTTTTCTTCGTGGGTCTTGAATTGTTTGTTCTTAATGTTTTTGGTTTCTCAATACGGGTACGGTCTATCGTATTCATGTTCCAATTTTTTATCTTCCTTGCTTCAATTGCATGTTTAATCTTAGTAAATTTACAGAGAATAATTCTTGTACTATTATTTGTGGGTCCGATATTTTCTAATCGTGTTAAAAGTTCGCTCAGCGACTTATGTCTTAAATATCGTCTCTTGATGCATGTTGAATCTATGATCAAATGTTCGGATAAGTCACTCATGATAGTATTGAATACTGAAGCAAATGATCAA